TCAACGTCCAATGCCAGGGTCCCTTTATGATTAGAGACAGGGGTGCAATACTGTACTTAAAATTAAATAGGGAAAAGAGACAGAAAAATGTATCCAGAGCTGAAACATTCTTCCTTTAAAAAGACCACTGTGTGTATAATAGCTGTGAGGGAGTTGCTGAGTCAAAATAAAGGTGCATGGTGGGGTCAGACTTTTGATATTTTAAGAAGCAAAATGATTCAAAACAGCCACGTTCAGTACAAGTCTCAAGTAAAGGCTGGATGTTTAAACCAGATCTCAGCATGCAGGAAAATAACAATTAACCATTCAGTATTGATCATAAATCAAAGCGGTTCAAATCTATCCTGCCTGTATAAATACTGACTGTATTAACATGTAAATATACTTTCTACAATCGTGCTGAGTTTTAAAGCTGGAGTGTCAACCTTCTTCACTGATTAATAATATGTCATGTGTAGATATGATGAATGTACTACATCAAATTAGTTAGTAAAGGGAAAATCCACTTAAAAATCACATTATTAGTATTTGATTTGCAACTTAATGTCAATTCACTTTACTAATAATTCCTCTTTGCTTGGACAATATTTCTAGTAAGTTATCAGGAAGAAAAGTTGCAACCACTTTGTGATGCATTTACTGATATCACAGCAACACATGAACCAATCTATTTTCAGCAAACGGCTTAGAACAAAGCAGAATAAACAAGCAGCACCATAATCACACAGGATTACTGAGAATTCAGAGTTATAAGAGTCTCATTAACGAGGCTGCGCTGCTTTGATGTGTGAAAAATCAAATCCACTGCTCCACTCACAAAGAGCAGAGAAAGGTGTCAGCGCTGTGAGAGCCGGGCCCAGAGGTTCTGCTCATAACACTTCTTTATTATTTATCAACTAGGTGTCACTCCGAGGCAAAATGTGTCGCGTGAAGTTTAATATTCAGCAATCAGCACCTAATAATTAAATACATATGAATGTCTTTGAACATCTCTCATTTGAAAACAAGGTGACTTTATCTAATGTGGTAAATAAATCTGTATGTAAATGCCAATCCACAATAAATGTGCAAAATCTGAACCAATTTAAAGAAAATTAGTGTTTTATATTGCCAAATAGATTTGGTATTTGTGTGTAGACTCGAGATAACGTGCATCAAACCTCAACAACCCCACATCAATTAATCCCTTGGTCTCACAACAAAGACAAATTGATTTCTTTTTTTCTACGTTGCTCTTTTCTGTGGGAAAAGCACTTTTAATTGCTCACCGCTGATAACAAGTTGTAGCCCATTACCACAGCGGTGATAAATTACAGGCAGGAGCGCCGTGGAATTAATGAAATATTGAATGAGGGAAGATTGAACCAAGTTATCTGGTCTGACTCTGAGCTCAATGTTACTGTCAAGTCTAATTGTTTCATGTAACTAAACTGAGACTACAAAGACTACATCAGTCTTTTAAACTGAAATAGACTGTTTATTAGTAAAAAAATAAAAATAATAATATCCTCTTTATTTCAATGGATCTGTGCTTTGAGTGTTCATATCTACATTTGCTGAACAATGAAAAAAATTGTATACCGTTTAATTTATTCTGAACCCCCCCTTTGTCTATTTAGGTTTTTGTGCTACTTTATGCTTCTTCCAATTTCCGTTAAGGTTACTTTCATGTTTTTCTCTAATAAAAGGAAAGCAATTAACAAAAGTAGAATATAAAAAACTTTGCCCTGATGATGGTGCTACATGAAAAACAAAGTCAGAAAAGTTATTAATTCCTATCTGGCAATTTGTATTCATCACATATTTAATCCAAAACCACAACAGTTCACTTCATGGTGGTGCTAGAGAAAGGGTAGAGAACCCAATGAACTGTTGTTCGCTTAGCATGGACAACGACTACATCTCATACATTGTGTATCTGTTGTGTGGTAAACACTTTCAAATTAGGCTAAGAGACAGGCATTGTGTTATTAAAAATGCAATGTGCTGTAAAGAGCCATTAGAGTACCTCCTGTATTAGCAGCTGTGCATTTAGAACCTCTCTTATCCATGATTTGTGAGTGGTGCCATCATCAGTATAGAGGCTTCATGTGCCGACTTCAAACAGCTACACCTCCAGTCTTGGTTGATAGTGAGGAGGATGTGGCTTTAAATGATGGACTGATTAACTTCCCTCCGGCTTTCAAGAATCACATTACCTGAGACGAGCACGGAGGCTCTGTGAAATAAAAAGGCCATAAAGGTAACGTGAGTCTCTCGAAAAGCACTCGGCATCCTCTCAGAATGCAAAGAGCAAACATATGTACATGAATGGGCTGGAGAGGAAATTGACAAAGAACATTATGACCGGGTCAATATATGTATGCATTCTTAATACATACTTCCAGATTCACATCTATATGCCACGTAGAACTTCACAAATCCTTATTGATTCATTTGCAAATATTGGGTGGTGGGAGACGTGATGAACTGGCAGGCAGAGCATCTTCAGATGGCAGCTGTGACTCAGAGATGTCAGCTGTTCCACAGTGACAGTCTGCAAATACCACCTGGACGAGAAGCTAAAATAAACACTATTTGAATTGTGATTGGCATGCAATAAGAAGACTACACTTCCAATGCGGGAGTCTCTGAATAGACCATTCAAACTCCAAAAGTAGGCAAACAGAAAAGACAGTGAGAATCAGCCTTTCTCTGTCTGGACTAAATTTTTTTTTTTTTTTTTGACCAGTGAAAGCTCCTGGCTCTTTGCCTTGAAAGCTTGTGCTATGGTGACACTCGATACTTTGCTATTACGTTGACTTTATTAGGCACTCAGCTGCTTTTGTTGCTAAGCCATTAGGCATAGGCTTCTTTCTGACGCTTACAAATGGATGATTTCCATTGAGGAACAAATGAGAGCAAAATGATTTTAATTGGAAAGATTGCAAACATACCAAACATAAATGCATCTTTTGCATCATGATAAAATCAGAAACATTTAAATGTATTTTAAGGGAAGTGAATATTAAAATCATAAATACATATCAAACACTTAAGACATGATTTTGAATAATGTATTATTCACTAAAAACAAGCCACTTAAAACAGGGCAGTATGTCTCTCTCAACATGGTAGATTAAGTTTCTGAATGGTGGGATCCATTTATCTTTGCCTGTAAACTTAGTCGGACATCATCTTCTGTTTAATATACAGCATGATTTATTGCACATGGATGTACACAACAGTGGCCTTTCAAACACTCGTGTTTTGAGGACCTCTGAGTGCAAACCTTGAATGAGATGTGTGGGAACACTTCAGTCCTGCAGCACTTCTGTCATGAAACAGCATTTTTATCTTTTTACAGCATTTTGGTACAATTTCACATCATACATTTAGTGAGAACTGAAAAACTGCTGCTCACATGACTGAAAGAAACATCTACAGAGCTGGTGATGCATTCTAAGAAAAATATTGACTTCAACTGGGAGCTGAAAAAATACACTACAATTGTTAAAGCTTGCAAAAAAACAAAGGTGCGGAGTAACAGTTGATTAGCATTATTAGCACAAAGTAATTCTAGATTGACTTTAATGTTCCTTTTGGGGTCTTTGAGAACTAAGGCCCCTCAAAAAACATATTGAATATTGATTTATCAGCCAGATATGTTGTGATTTGTTTCTAATGATCTTGTTCACTAACATATTGTTGTACCCATAACATGTTTCATAAAGGTGTCCAAAGAAACATGGTCAAATCTATTGAATTTTCATATGCTCTTTTTCTGTGAATGGTGTTTACAGTTCTTTTTAACACAGCATTCCTCCTCCCAAACCCTTGTCGTATATCTATTTGGATTTCTGTTGATTTTTTGGGTTCTCTTATAAGGAATCCTAGTAATAGTTGCCCCAAGCATTAGTGAATACATGGGATATACAAATGTAAATGTCTGTCAGAAGAGTTTTTGCCAAGACTAGAAAACAATATATATTTTAATATAATAAATGGTTAATTGCGCACTCATTTTACTGCACATACAGCAGTGGGTTCTTTGGAAGCACAATGACAAAGTAAAACCAAAAATGTAAATCACTGGAGATATGTGATTGTTTAACATCTCTTTCCAAAATTGCAACTATTAATAAGCTGTTTAACCAGTCTCCGCTATTCTGGGAAGGATTTCCCTAATATGTTTGCAACTGGTGTGCAGATCCACACAATAAGAACATTACTTAGGCCTTAATTGGCCTGGCTCAAAGTCTGTGCTCCAGGTCACCACTAATGTGTGGGAAGGGGTTGAGATCAGGGCTCTCTGCACACCTAAACCGGGGAAACGTTTTCTGATGGACCTGGCTATTACCTAAAGTACCATTGTTGTACCTTGTCAGAACCAAAAGAACACAACCCTATGTGGAGAGGGGTCACCACATACTTTTTGCCATTTATATTGAGGATTTAAAATGTGCAAGTCTTTATAGGATGTTCAGATAAGAGCCCTGGTTGATGCATGGGTGAGTTTATAACTGTTCTTGGAAATAGGTGAAATAGACATAAAAATATCAACTGTGACCAGGAAGCAGACAAATAACCACATTAAGGCCCAACAAAACCTCACCAGACTAGGCTGTCATTTCTACACTTGCCTGAACATGTTGAGATGTTAAGTGGGTAGACTTTACAACTTAACAACTTAACAACTGTATTCTTGATATTAAGTAAATCATAGAAATGAAGTTATTGAAATGAAATGGAGCTGCTGACCCTTCACACAACAGGCTAGAAGTTTAACAACAACATGTAAAGCAATCTTACTCTTCAAGGATAAAAAACTGGACGAGAAAAATGTTTACAAAACGCAGATATATGTCACATACAGCAAACATAACACGTTCCCGTGTAAAGGCAGCTCAGGGAAGGCTTGCTAGGGACACCTGTTGATGATCGGAGAACGTTTGAGCTTTCCCTCCCAGTGGTTGTATGGTCTCATGTGCCCATTAGAGCGCACTAAGGAGAAAACTCACCCTGGCTGCTTTGGAGGAGTAAGGGTCGTCAAACAGGGCCCAGACCTTAGGCTGCCAAACTTCGCAGCAGCTCCTCGACCTGTCCGGACAGTCCTCGATGCCGAACCGTCTCGGCATGTCTCTGTCGTCGTCGGTCTCCGGGTCGGGGGGTTCAAACGTCTCCAAGGCTTCCTCCGCGTCCCGGTGTTGCCGGTAAGTCATCCAGCAGCACGGCTCCACGTCGGTCTCGTCAATCCCCCAAAACGCCAGCTCCTCCTCGAAGAGGGGCCCGCACACGTCGGCCGGGCAGTGTAGCTTGCCGGTCCGGTAGTAGTTGAGCACATAGGCGAAGATACCTGGATGTCTGTCGAAGAAGAGCTCGGCGCTCGGGGTCGCAGCTTCCGAGTCAGAGCTGACCTGCGGGTCCGGGTCCGCCAGCCAGGCCAGGCGGGTCCCCGGCAGGGTCCTCAGGGTGCTTTTGTACGTTTCATGTCGAGTGCCACCCACGTTGATGGTAATTTTTTCCGAGTCTTCCCCTCTGAACATCTCCTCCTTCAGACATGTTTTAGACGGAGGTTTGTTGCCTGCCTTGCGCCCCCGGTAAGACGAAACACACACCGAGCTTATCATTTAGAAGCAAGGACCTTCTGGCCTACCTTACAAGATGTTGTCCAATCCGACAAAAATCAAATAAATATTGCCAAAAGAGCCCTCATTTCAGACCCCAGTCCTGATACTGACCTGTGCGTGTCATTTATGCAAAGAAACAACTGTCGATGGAGACAGCGCAAAAGTGAGACGCTCAATAAAAACCACCTGTTACAAAACTCCGCCTGGTGTTGGAACAAAACGCAGGTGTTTTTAAATGTTGTTTGTCGAACAGGTTGCACAATGTTACTTAAATGAATGCTTCAAGGTGTTGCACTTACGATTTTCCGCTCATTTTGCAAAAATAAATGTCAAATTACGCACAGCAGGCTTCGTGCCTCTGAAGTAATGTGTCACTCCTCGCCTCCTTTTAGAAATGTTATCCAAATTCTGCAACGCCAAAATTAACAACTATTCCTGATAACTTTTCTCTTCTCCACAAAAAATGAGCAAGCTTTCCAAACGACCATTTATTCACTCGAGTTGAGCTATTCCTCCAGTTCTTCCCGTTCAGTTCGCATGCCAGATGTGCTGTTGTTTTCCAGCTGGGTATCTGTTGCTTTCTTCATAAGTAGCCTCTCTTGCCTTAGCGACACAGCCCCGGATGGATGGTGCGTTCAACAACAGCCTCGACAGTTTAACTCTTTGGATGCTGGCGGAGGCTGGCACACTGAACCACTCCCTCCAATCTCTCTCTGTGTCTGTGTCTGTGTCTGTGTGTCTGTGTGTGTGTGTGTGTGTGTGTGTGTGTGTGTGTGTGTGTGTGTGTGTGTGTGTGTGTGTGTGTGTCAACCTTCAACTTACTTTATTTGTAGATTGTAATATTGAATAATGTGATTCAAACATTTTAGCAGCAGATAATGATTTTCCTTCAATTTCATTAGTAGCCAAAAATGATGATTATTGTTATTATTATTTCGTTATTATTAGTATCATTATTAGTATTGCTTATTAGTAGTAGTGCTATTATTATTATTATTTGTATTGTTATTATTATTATTATTATTATTATTATTATTATTATTATTATTATTATTATTATTATTTTTGAGCAACAAAGTGTGATCCAACAATGTGATCAGAGAAGTCATGATGTTGCTGAAACAAACTAAGACTGACACCTAGTGGATCCTTCAGTGAACAACATGATCAGTGAGCCGGTTGAATGAATCATTCAGAAATACAGAAATTACATTGATTTGAAGAGATCGTGTTCAGTTGATTTACTAATTGTGTAACCGCAAAACAACATCTGAAAAGTTTAGGTGAAAGTACTGCATTCAGTATTGTACTTAAAGGGGACCTATTATGTAAAATCCACTTTTTCATGTATTTTATACACAAACATGTGTCCCCTCCCTGTGTTAAGAGATTCTGAACATTTCAGGAAAAAAGATTCACTTTCTTTTTGTCCTGATCCATTTATATAAAAACCTGTCTGAAAATGAGCTGATCAGATGTTGGCCACTTTATGATGTCATAACGATTTTTTGGCTTGTGTAACCATTAGCCAGTAACCAACCAAGGTAACACCCGCCTTATCACCTGAATCTCCTCCAATAGTAGTGCTTCTCAAACTTTTTTCAGTATTGTACCCCCTTTGAAACATTTTCTCAGCCAAGTACCCCCTGACCGACCCCGAACATTTTTGATAGAAAAAGCCTATACAAATAATTACAATATAGTGATGTTCCATCAGTGTATGATTTATTAACTCCTTCATGCATGAATTACAACAAACTAAGGATATTTTCATCTTTATGCATGAGACGTTTTTTTTAACAGATTTTTAAGTAATATATGTTTAACAAACCAATAAAAAAAATGATATATTATGCAAAAACTATAAAATACAATACACAAATATTATAATAAAATCCACTGTGGTGCCTGATGTGCAACTATACCATCTGAAACCCCATGAATATACAAGAAAACAGCATTAAATTAGCAGTCTCTATAGTGACCACAATGCATGAAAGGGTTAAAAAACAACAACCTTGTAACTGAAAAAAATTGCAATTATAAACAAACTATGTAATAACACTGCAATGACACTATTTAGGAGTTGTCGGTCGTTAGCGATCGTGTACGGCTTTTTGGCTTTAGCGATGAGAAGAGACACCGCATACGAGGCCTCCAGTCCTAAGCCAGCTTTGGCTTGGGGGCCCCCCTCACTCTAGCGTGTTCTCACTTCACACAACACGGAACCAACTTTTGTCTTATGATGTTAGCATAAGCACACATATTGTATACATAAGCATGTAAACACCCTGTGTTTAATATTGAAGTTAAAAGCATCAATCTGGTGCACTTTGAGAGCAAAATTAAGAGATCTATGGATACATCTCTCAACACCCATATAAAACAGAACTGTAAACAGATTTTTCTTTATGGATATTTTACAAATCACTCCCCTTTTAAACTGTATTCTTGTTTTGTCATACAGTATTTCATAACTGTTTTTCATTTATTCTCTCTGGCTGTCCATCTCATAATGTTCACATAAAGACTAGCTGTCAATAGGAATATCATTCAGAAGAATTATAATTTCATGCAAAAATCTGTCACAAAAAGAGGTTGCACATTTACAATCAGGTGTTGTTATGGCAACGTCAGTGGCCAAACAGCCACATTTACTGCTGCAAATACGTTCAATCATGCTGTCGACACCTAAAGCAGTGGCAACTATGCCACCATTTCAGCTGACTTTTTCTCAGAAATACTGTCACATAACATCCATATATTTCAGTGCTAGGTTGATGCTTAGCTAAGCTAACTATGAAACACTTTAACTGACAGGACTCAGGATCAACTGTGTACTGTAAGGTAGCTTCTAGCTTTATGTCGAACAGTAAGTCAACATTTCCCAGAGAGCTTTCTTTGAAATCACCAGGTAACGCTAAAAAACATTACATTTAGATTGTATGACAAAGTGTTTATTTAATATATCTGGCTAGCTATAGCTACTTGGTTTAGCTTACCCCCGCGATTCAAAGTAACGTCAACGTAGCTGTAATTTCTCCTGGCTCAAGTGCTGGCTCTGGGGTTGTTGTGTGAACCACCACTTGAGAATTGTCGTCTTTTTTAAGAACAAATGTTCTTATGTCCATCTTCAAAAACTTTTGAAAATAATATTATATTTTGGTTTAGGTCAAAATATAATATTTGTAAACCTGAAGAGTCAGTGCCAGTGCCTCACCAGCCATGAACCTCACTGCACGTCACTGCAGAAGCTTATATATAGACATCTAAGTTTTTTGTGCCCCACCACTTTTGTACATATAAAAACGCCACTGGTAATATTACAGTGTTACGTTGATTTGTTTGTCCTTCTCGGACCATGCACTACGCATTTCAGTGGTTTTGTGTTAGAAAAGAAAGCAACCAATCAGATCTTGTTCTGGGTCTCTGGGTAGAATATCCTTCAACCAAGGTATTCTATATCCTTGATAGAATGCCCTGGCCGTTGCACTGAATGAGATTTGTAGCCAAAGGGCGTGTTCTTTCAGAGTTTCCCTCGGTTCCAGGGTACTCTCGAAGGCCCGGTAGTTCACTGGCTCGAGACAGAGGATCTAGAATGAATGCGACGAAGCAATTCATGACGTTTTATTGTTTTTAACGTTGAAATGGCTGTTCAGCTTAGAGAGTCAGTGCATGAGAAGCGAAGCGGAAGTGAGGGACCAAAACAAACGATTAAGAAGGCACACACACAGACGGTTAATCCTTTTCATATTCATCTCACCCGGACGCAAGAGTTTATTTTTTATGTTTACATGTTTTCGATCGACGAGAGAGAGTGAAAATGGAACCCAGACGCTATTTGTTGTTTGTTTATATCACGCAGCCTGTTCTTCTTCTCTCGGTGTATAGTCTGTCTTCCGGTTGTTGCCTCTTTTGAATGACGAATACACACTACCGCTGCCTGCTGGTAAGGACAGTTATTGCCACTCGTCAACTGAAGTCTTTGCGGTGTGTTCGTAGGCGGGCGGCGTAGCCGACGCAGGCGACGTAGCGGACGTAAAAGTCGGGACGCCTTCGGTATGCGTTCTTTGGTCTCAGGTTGGTGTGTAGCAGCCTTAACACGAAATGCCGTGAGACTGGGTTGGTTGTGCAAGACCAGAGATGTAGTTCATTGAGCGGTTTCACACAAAAAAAAGTGTTACTTCACAGTTTTACGGCAACATAATTTTTTTTTTTACTTGCAAAATTATCTTTTAAATTGACGAACATCATATGTGTAATTTGTGGCACAATTCAAACGGGATCGAAAGAAAATTCTCACCATTGACTTCAATACATTATATATATATATATATATATAATATTTATTGTTGCCTCTGTGTTTAGTGTCCTGTCTGTCTGTAACTTTGTGTGGTAGTGTTACCACTGACAGGTCTCTCTTGGAAATGAGACCTTGTGTCTCAATGAGATTTTACACCTGTATAAATAAAGGCTAAATAAAAAATACATAATTTTTCCGAAATAAGGTCCCATGGAGGTCCACCGAAAAGGGAGGGACTTCGGCTCTCTACAGGGCTGCAATAGAGGGGTATGAGCAGTATGAGGCACGGCTACAATGGGTGATCTGTTTGGTATTTTAAGCAAAAAACTTCACAGACATGTTTTATATAGGTATGGCCCTACAATATATTTTTCAAATATAGCATAATAGGTCCACTTTAACAAAGTAAATACATTGAGACATTTTAAGATTTTTGGTAGCAAACAACATACAGCCAAAGGATTTCTATAAACAATAAGCTGAGGTCTGTTGTTTTAGTCCACTTCCTCAATAGTGGGGCCCTTGGAGTTGCCTCCTGCCCCGCTGCCGCAGCTTCCTGACGGTGCTGCTCCCTGGTACAACTTGGTGACAACTGGCTTGAACGCTTTCTCTAGTTCTTTCTGCTGATGCTCGTACTCTTCTTTCTCTGCCATCTGGTTGTTCTCCAGCCAGGAGATTGCCTTGTTGCACTTGTCAATGACCATCTTTTTATCCTCCTCGCTAATCTTTCCTTTCACGTTCTCGTCCTCGACACTGTTCTTCATTTGGTAGGCGTATGACTCTAGTGAGTTCTTTGCTGCAACCCTCTCCCTCTGCATGTCGTCCTCAGCCTTGTACTTTTCTGAGTCTTGTACCATCCGCTCTATGTCCTCTTTGCTGAGGCGACCCTTGTCGTTGGTGATGGTGATTTTGTTTTCTTTCCCGGTGCTTTTGTCAACAGCTGACACATTCAAAATGCCATTTGCATCAATGTCAAAAGTCACCTCCACCTGTGGTACACCTCGTGGAGCGGGGGGGATACCTGTGAGCTCAAATTTGCCCAGGAGGTTGTTGTCCTTTGTCATGGCTCTCTCCCCCTCATACACCTGAATGAGCACACCTGGCTGATTGTCCGAAAAGGTGGAGAAGATCTGGGTCTGTTTGGAGGGGATGGTGGTGTTACGTTTGATGAGAGGCGTCATCACTCCACCCGCCGTCTCAATGCCCAGAGATAGGGGAGCCACGTCAAGCAGCAGCAGATCTTGGACGTTCTCTGATGTGTCGCCCATGAGGATAGCAGCCTGGACCGCTGCGCCGTACGCCACAGCTTCATCTGGGTTGATGCTCTTGTTCAGTTCTCTACCATTGAAAAAGTCTTGCAAGAGCTTCTGGATTTTGGGAATTCTTGTGGAGCCACCAACCAAGACGATTTCATGGATCTTGGACTTATCCAGCTTGGCATCTTGCAGGGCCTTCTCGACTGGGTCCAGTGTTCCCCTGAAGAGCTCAGAGTTAAGCTCCTCAAAGCGAGCCCTTGTGATAGAGGTGTAGAAGTCAATGCCCTCAAACAGAGAGTCGATCTCGATGCTGGCCTGGGTGCTGGAGGACAGGGTTCTCTTTGCCCTCTCACAAGCTGTGCGCAGTCTCCTCACTGCTCTCTTGTTTTGGCTAATGTCCTTCTTATTTTTCCTTTTAAATTCCTCCATAAAGTGGTTGACCATCCGGTTGTCGAAGTCTTCCCCGCCCAGGTGAGTGTCTCCTGCGGTGGATTTAACCTCAAAGATGCCGTCCTCAATGGTCAGGATGGACACGTCAAAGGTGCCTCCACCGAGATCAAAGATGAGGACATTGCGCTCTCCTCTTTTTCCTTTATCCAGACCATAGGCGATGGCTGCTGCTGTGGGCTCGTTGATGATCCTGAGGACATTCAGTCCAGAGATCGCACCGGCGTCCTTGGTGGCCTGCCTCTGAGAGTCGTTGAAATATGCTGGGACTGTGATGACTGCATTTGACACCTTCTGTCCCAGGTAGGCCTCCGAGATTTCCTTCATTTTAACCAGAACCATGGAGGAGATTTCCTCTGGGAAGAAGGACTTGGTCTCCCCTTTATACTCAACCTGGACTTTGGGCTTTCCGTTATCGCTGATCACCTTGAAAGGCCATAATTTCATGTCGGACTGGACAACAGAATCGTTAAACTTTCTCCCAATAAGACGTTTGGCATCAAAGACTGTGTTGACCGGGTTCATGGCAACCTGGTTTTTGGCAGCATCTCCAATGAGCCTCTCTGTGTCTGTAAAGGCCACGTAGCTGGGAGAGGTCCTGTTGCCCTGGTCGTTGGCGATGATCTCCACCTTGCCATGCTGGAACACCCCGACACAAGAATAGGTGGTGCCCAGATCAATGCCAATAGATACTCCCTTAGCTGAGGACATTATGATTCTTGCTTAGAGTTCCTAGGATGAAAAAGGAGAACATTACATTTCATGTTCTAATGTTACACGAGAGCTCTGATTACTGCAACCTAATATTATTCAAAATTACTGGTTCACCAATGTATTTTTGTCTTTCTTGTTATAAGAGAGACCTACAGTATATTAAGCGAACAGTTAAAAATAGAAACTCTGACTAACATTATCATTAGTAATTCAATGCTAAGGGCACCATCCCATGGCACACTTCAAATCTAATCTCTTTGCTCTACAACAGAAGTAACAAATATATATCTTATAAATCGTATATATTAATGGAAAAATCTAATGATTAAAGTATTGCTTAAATATTTTCTAGTTTGAAATTGTCCCAAACCAAACTCAACATCATTACTAATGAGGAAATTGTAAGACATTTTCTAGAATCAACTGTTTCTCTGAACTGGGAAATTAACTTGTATTATACAAGCATTACAAAACACACAATATAGAGCAAAGTTGATGGGTTAGTAAAGCTGAATATGAATACATTATATAATAAGTAATGTACTACAAAAGTTGAAAACCCCCTTAACCATCAGATGGTATAACATTAGATAGACAACAGTGAGGTTACCATTATATTAATTTAACCACATATCATTTGCTACTTACTTTCAGCGATGAGTCTGTCGCGTCTTAAAGATTCTGAAGGATCTCAGCAGTCTCCTTGAAAAGTTCCCTTTGTAGCAACTTTTGCCTCGGTAGTCTTCTTAAACTAATGCCCAAACTGACTCAGGCGCATTGCTTTTATAGTCGAAGCTACGTTTCCAGAAGCTACTAGTCCCCCTCCCTCCTCCTCCTCCAAGTTCAGTGAGTCATCTGGTAATATTAGCAGGTGGTGCAGCTGGCTGGTGCGAGAGAGCCGGTGAATGTTCCAGAGCGGGACAGCAGTGTGACGCTCGGCCAGCATGGCTGACAGCGGGGGAACACAATGTGGAGACTGTAGCAGTAAGGCACATTGAGAGGAGGTATGTGGAAGTGTTAACAGGCATGAATACATCTAATTTATCCTCTAAAATAAATAAAAATAGGTACTATAACTACCCAAACACTCATCTAAAGAGGATTATTCTATTCAGTTTGCTTCGTATAAACACATGACTTGTTTAAAGTTACTTTTTTCTGTTAAAAGAACTTGTTTTATTGCTGATTTAATGCATTCTTTTACATAGTATACACTTGTGCATTTTGATTACATGGAATTTTACGTTAGGTGATCCTGTTCAAATGAAGACAGCAACAATCATATGGCAAACATAAAAGTCTAATATTTTTCTCAACACGGCTTATACATAAGAGTGACAGTTAATACTAGAAGCAGTGGAAGGAAGACATTAAATGCACCACTAGTGGATGTGGTTTTACAAAGAGGAATGTTGATTTAATTAAGGTCAGTGCTGAGATTTAAGTGTTGTAAATGATTTAAAAGGCACATTCATGCCATGGCCATTAAGGTATTATCCAGTCAAAACACTTTAGAACTGACCACGCTGCTGATGATTGAGACAGATCTCAGCTGGACTTTGAGCGAATGGAAACTTAGAAGTAAATGTGGAAAGATAAACTGGGTTAAAAATGTTTTCAACCTTCTCAATACTTCCTTTTTAGGAATACATACTGTTATCTTTATGAAAACATCCTAATCTGTTACATCAAACATCCCTTTGGTTTGAATGTACTGTGTTGGGTTGAGTGCCAACACCAAGAGTCAGGAATTCAAAAAGCACTTAATAAACTCTTATAATAAACCACAAGTGCTATAATTCATCACTGTATTTGTGGCTGTGACTGGATGATACCTTTTAGGGCATGTATGCAGATACCATTCAATGACATTATTAAACACATGTAAAACAAACATTTCTATAATAATGTACATAGGAACACAGAGATTGTTTTGGCTCAGTCCAAATCCTGGTTAGTGGAATGTACTAATAAAATCGTAATGTTATTGATGGACAAAACAAACATGGTATCTGTTGCATTCATACAGCCATCATTTGGCACTGTGCGTAAATAGGGTAAACAAACAAATCAATAATCTAGAAACAGAAGCAGTAGCAACTAAATAAGTACATACACATTAAAGCATGCAAGCAGGCTTTTCCTTTAAACACCTGACAATACATATAAAATGGTAGTTGGTTATACATCGTATGTTTCCTACATGTCTTATTGTTTTAAATGTATTATATTAACACTATTTCTGAAGTGCTATTAATAAGTTACATTCAGCATAATTAAAATAATTCCTCCATTTTGTAGCAATTTAGAAAATAAAATAGATATCTCTGTTTATCCCAGGAGAACTGTGTGTTGAGGGTCACAGCATCGGACACTGTCATTAATACCTGTGAACAAAAAAACAACGTTATAGTTCCTGAGAACACATCATAAATGTTAGCAATCAAATATAGCGTTATATGATTAAACCTACCTGTAGTAATTGGGTTTAAAAGGGCCGTTCTTGTTGAGGCCCATGTACTTGGCCTGCTCATCAGAGAGCTCTGTCAGGTGGGCATCAAAGTTAGGAAGATGCAAACTGGCCACATACTCATCTGAAGGAAACATACACATAGAAATCCACAAGGTCAGGGAAATACTTGTTAATGTGTATATATTTTTTAGCACACACGGTGGTGTCATTTCAAGTCACAAGGTGGCAACAATGAGCAAAAAAGTGGCTGAAGATTTTCTTTAAACTAATGTTCTGAATCAGCTATTCTGGTATGTCTGGTAATCTAGGGGGCTGCAGAGCTACTGCCAAATGGTTAGATTACATTACAAACATTTATTTTAAAATGGAAAATAGGGAAGTTATTTTTATATCGAAATGTTCTTAAGAAAAATTCAAGTGCATACATTCAATGACCAGTTTCATTTGAGTATGGTGAGGAAATATCACAGTGAATTTATTAAACTTGGATTCATAATGGCCGACAGTGATGAAATAGGGCAAGCAGATTATTTACTTTAGTCATTAAAGCCGACAGTGGAAAAACACAGATTTACAGCTCAGTTTATTATTTCTTCTTTTGTTTTTATCGTGTTGACGTTTTTTCCTTATCATTTATTTAGTAAGGTAGGCCTCTTAAGATTTTTGTAACAATATGAAACGGCATTACTGTAGGTTGCAAAAGATAATTTTTTTTAAACCAACTCTTTATGATAATTGTTATACTAAATAAATTGTAAGCAAACATCTAAAGCAAAGCAAATATATATAGCTTACCCATCTTCTTGGGCAGGAGATACACATCCTGTTTGTAACGGCCCTCTGGAGCGTTGAACAACTCAATCAGGGCCAGGGCCTGCACAAAACACAGAGCACAACCGTAAGACTCCCAATGAGTTACAGGGGACTACAAAGGAGTGAGTGAAGGTCTCAACAGAGAGCAAACTACTCGCCTGGGTCGTGGCAGTGATGGACAACACAAACGTAGGCACTGTGGAGCAGCTCAGGTTTAAGAGACGGCCCTGAGAAATAACAAATTACAAACATAAACGGCACTGTAGAAATTGAGTCAAAAGTGACACATTAGGAGATAACATGATAGCATGCTGTATGAACACAGAGCACACAGTATCAATTGGTTTACAGTGAGACACCTGTAGGCCTCTTTATACTTGAATACCCCACAAGGAGAAATTAACCAAGAGGTTTATTTATTATTAAGATTTAACCCTACATGCGAGACAACCATCAGTTTAATGAGAATCTGCACATTAGTATTAAATGACCACAATATTTCACAACAGAAATGCTTCCGAGCTTGGGGTAAATACAACATGTGTTCTGAGTTTTTGGGCGAAGAGTGTGGTTTTAAAAGCCATTAGGTGTGATCAAACTAATCTAAAGATGTGAAGGCACACAGTTTTGTAAGTAGGGCTGCAGAGGGACATTACCTCTGCGAGTAGCACGACCCTCTTCCCATCGGGCCAGATGATGTGGTCAACCTGAGAGCGGACCCTCTCCCAGGTCAGCTCAGGGCTGCGCAGACTCGCCTGGAAGATATGACAGATTGATAAGAATAAAGGTCAAAGAACAATGTGAGAGGATTTTAAGCAACACAAAAGGTGATATTTATTTAATAGAATGTGGAATAACATTTATTTAGAGAAAACCATATGTACCAAACATCAAGATAATTCAAACAAAGCAGAGCAGAACATAAAAGCAAAAGATGGAAACAAAAAAGAAGAAATCTATCCCGTAGCATTGAGTTCAAAATAAAAAGAGGAACTGAGAATGCATGTTCGTCACAGAGAGGGGATATTTAGAGAAGTTGCTCCTTGAAAGGAGGCATGCTGGATCTCTAAATTGGGCATCTTAAGCCCTGGAGAGTTAAAAGAGGAATTGATGCCAGTCTACTACAAATATTTGGTTTCAAAGAACAGGATTTGGAACAGTTGGAGATGAACATAAGGGTTTACTGTGTTAAGATTAACCATAAACATTTGTATACTGTGTTTGGAGAAATGCAGAAATGTGTTTGTTTTGTTGTGTTAATATGCTATTTATATTTTCAGTGATGATCATAATATATACTATTTAATCTATTTACGTTTAATCAGTACTGTATATGAGGCAACCAGAAACAGCATTGATAAAGGAAAGAAAGCCAAAAACGGTTGTGTGACGCGTTGTCATTTTTTGCATTGAAGCTCACACTGAAACTAAATAAACACATTACCACATCAATCTCAGTATTGGAGTGTCCCATATTGCAGACGATGCAGCCATTCTTCATCCGGTCGAGCTGTTCTCTGGTGACCACATTCTTGTTTCCTATTAAAAACAAACAAAGAATAACAATAATGTACTATGTAAACAGAGTCACTGAGACAGAACAAGTGAGATAAAGTCATGTCTGCACAGTTTCAGAGTGCTTCTCTTTCTGTTATAAGAATGGATTTACAGCTGTATGGGAATTGCGATTACAGCCATCTGAAAAATACGCAGATCCGAGTATTTAGCAGTCAGCTGTAAGGTCTGTTTTAGACCGAGAGACCTCTAATGGCATATTGAATATTTGCTGGAAACATTGTGATTATCAAAGCAGAAGTAATGAGTGTCTCTGCATGGGGTACAGTACCAGTGCAGGTTATCACCACGTCCATCTGCCGGATGACTTCACTCAGCTTGACCACTCGGAAGCCGTCCATGCTGTGTGGATACACATATATGGAGGTATTTCATTACTTTAAGCAGCACAGACATAGTTAAAATGACATGAAACCAATAGTTTTTTTCCAGAATCACAACAGTTATCTATTTCACCACATGTAAACACTGGAGCACAACATGGAGCAGTGTTGTTAGTGACTCACCATCCCTGCAGGGCACAGATGGGGTCAATCTCTGTGATGCACACAATGGCTCCGAGGGCCTTTAGAGCGGTGCAGCAGCCTTTTCCAACCTACACACAGGACAGCGCAATAGTTATCTACAATACATTGAACAATTCTGCAGCTGAAATGTAGTCATTCCATGAAAAGTGAATGTTTTAAAGCCTGAAATCAAAGAAAGAATAATTCACCTCTCCATAACCACACACGACAACTTGTTTGCCTCCAAACATTATGTCCGTGGTCCTCTTCAAGCTGGAAAAGAAAAAATGACACACACTTGTATCCATCTGCACGACTCAGAACAGAGATTTTTGTTTTGAAAATTATAGCTGGCTTTCTAAATTATGTAATTCTCCTCACCCGTCCAGGATAGATTCACGGCAGCAGTATAGGTTGTCAAATTTCTGCTTGGTGACAGAGTC